TTTATATTCTTTGAGCGAGTTTCATTCGTAATGCGTACATGCCCTCATTTATTTTGAGTTCAATTCGTTTAAATGAGAAAATGAAATTAAATAATTAACTTGATACGAAACAAGATAGGAAACTAAGAGAGTTTCATTACTCAAAATGACTACAACGTTCTCCTCCCCTCCGTCCAATTTTAGTTTACTTCTGCGCAAAAATCACTTTCCTGGTTTGTTTTTCACATCTTCAAACTGTATACGAAAACGGAGTATTTTTTTTTTATTGGTATTAAAACATTCAGAAGTAATAATGAATTGAAAAATGTAATTTCATTTGAGTTTAACTTTATAAAGAACAGCAAATAATGTATTGTAGCACATTCTGAAGGAATTTCTCTTGGGAATTTCTTTAATATAACTTCTATTCGAAAGTGGTCGCTTAATTGTGAAATAAACAAAAGCTACATAAGTTTGATAAAAGTTTCTTTAAATTAGAAAAATGAAATGCCACCAATAAGCTGGTGTGGTCGAAAGTTCGAGTCTCTGGTTTGGTTCTGTTTGTCTATTTCCTTATCAGTCTTGCTATATTATTAAAAAGCTGAAATCATGTAGAAACTTTGTTACTGGGTTGATATATCTTCATCATAATTAACCCTAGAACACTAACTATCAATTAAAGTTACACCACTACTAACCATGGGTATATCATACCCGATATTGAAAATATCAAAAAAAAATATCTCTATCTGTAAAATGCAGGAGGTGTGTGTGTGTGTAACGAATGCACGGCCGCAATTTTCGACGGATTTGCACCAAAATTTACATGCACATGCTCCAAGTTAGTGGGAAGACCAAGACCGACTTTGCATTTCCCAACTCCCATCGATAGTGGAAATAATCGATTTTTCATGCTTCTACGGCAGTTTTCATGTAGTTTGCGGCCATTTTGTACTGGCCAGAGTGAGAGCTAATAGCTGGCTGCCACGAATAGGCAGGAAGATTCTATTGGCCAGCGTGAGAGCCAACAGCTGACTGACACGTATGTTAACTAGCATGCTAGCATGCAAAAAAAAAATCGATAGCTGCATTCGTCACAAGTGGGAAAAATTTAAATCTGCATGGCACTTTACTCCAATTGGCTCATTCGCTTGCTTAAACTCAACGTTGATTCTGATTCCGCAGAACTGGGTTGGGTGTGAAAAAGTATTTGTTGTTAACATTCTTTTTTCATTCGGTTTTTCCAGTTAAGAGTCCTTTTTTAAAGCTGATCTTTTTGTGTTCATTTTGTTTAGTTCTTTTTTTCATAACAGATTTAATGTTTAGTATAGAGCTTAGAAAAAATTCGCAGTGTGAGATAGGCAAGAAGTAAGGCATGTAGCAACATCAGCACAGCAAAGGGCACTCCTTTAAAGGCAAGGAAGGGCAAAAATATTTGAAGTCAAGTGATAGCGATTGCTGTATGAGTCGTACGATTTTTGAATCAAGCACGCTGCCATGCTGCTAATTAAATATAAATCTTTCTTTGAAATATTTTACATGCAGGCACTTCAAACTTTGTACTTTGAGTTAACATTAATAGGAATTGAAAAACATATTATTTAGGTAAGAAAATCAGGTACTGAAAATTGTAATTAAAAATAGGAAAATTTGCGCTGGGTACTATATACCCATGGTTAGTGATCTAGGGTTAAGATTCCAGTATCAATCGTATCGCCGTGGAGCAAATCGTTAGCAAATTTGTCGTGCATGCTATTACCACTGAATTGAGTTCGAAACTAACTGGGTACCCCAAATTTTTAACCTTGTGCAGTACCAAGATTTGGGCGCTCCAAACTGTTGATCTTGTGTCATACATGGCTGAGCTTAGTAAATATCAATAAAGCAAGGGGGATTTAGACACAATTCTATGATTGAACATTTGGCAAAATGGTTTCTAGTTCTCTCTCTTTTGTTGCAATTGATATGACCCCTTATTCCTCTAACCGGAATGTAAGGGCCATCATTAAACCAAAGACCAACAGTTGGCTGGCGATAACAAAACTGAATTAATTAACTCCATTATCGTGACACATACGTCCATTCCACATGACCTGAAAGCCTACAAAGAGCCCTTAAATAAATGGGTGTTATGTCGACTAACTTTGACATTTAACGCGTACTCCAGTTAAGACTCTTGTACTTCTTTCGCAGATTAGAGCGTTTGAAACGCTGTTAAGGCCGAAGGTCAACGCCCGAACTTGATTTGTTTGTATTCAAAACAAACATATGGGAGTAAACGAGGGTTAACGAGGATTTAATCAGGCTAATTTATTTGATAGGTGCTCCGGAGTGTCAATTCACTTTCGAACCCTGTTTTGAGAAACGGCGTTCAGAGGTCGTTTACTGTAGATGATATTCACACTTAGCGGCCACTTACGACATAATTTACTAGCAGGTTTGATCATCAATAACAAGAATCAGAGCCTCTGTGTCTGATAACAGAGGAAAATAAGAGAACATTTCCATCCTTCTGTTTCATTGTTGGCCATCTTTTAGTCGAGATAATTATGTCTTTGCAAGATAGGTCGGCGTTCAAGTCCGACTTAAAGTAAGCATTCGGCTCCATTCTGTAAATTGATGAAATACAATCTTCTTTTTTCCCCTCTCGGACTGGTTTATCATTGCACTCAGTCAAGTCTCCCGGCAGTTTTTTCTTTACTTTTTTTACTTAGGAAATTTCTAAGCTAACGGCTTCTCTGGATTTCTGGGAAAATGTAAAATACATGAAACTAACCGCTTCTCTGATTATTAAAAAAATAAAGGGATCTCCCCGCTTTCCTCTTAATTTCTATCTCTAAATATTGACGTAGGAAGAATTGAACATGTAATTTTTCCTTTGCAAGCAATAAAATTTTATAAATTGGCGTTGATTTGTTGAAATAATCCGATTATAGACAAATTCCTTTCTGTATCATATAGTCTTTGATCGTATTTTCTCTTAGATTCAATGAATTGACAACTGTTCCATGTTACCTTCTTATCGGCACAAAACACGATTTCAGTTTTCTAAAGTAAAAGATCTAAATTAATGCTGTTTACTTGATGATTTTGAGGGGTTTATTGAAATATTTGCAGAAGTAGGAAAGTTGGCTCCCTGTGCTGCGTCAGGAACTTTTTATCGCCAGAGTCGATCCTTCAAATCTACAAATCAACCATTCGCCCTTGCATGGAGTATTGCTGCCATCTATGGTCTAGAACCCCTTCTAATTGTCTCAAGGTCCTTGATAAAATCAAAAGTCGTAATATGCAATGTTTATGTCTCTGATCTGGCATCTCGTCTACAAAATCTCTCACAGACGTGCTTCGTCGCCGAATTCTGTCTTTTTTTTACAAATACTTTCACGGTTTTCTGCTCTTGATGAGCTAATTTATAAACTGGTTCTTAGACTAAATGAATTTAAGCTTTTTTAAAAGGATGACATCTCGCTCACACCCTTTCACTTCGAAAAACTGTTAAATGTAGCCGTCATTTTCTTCCAATACCTTTATCAATATTCACAAATTTTAATTGCCTGTGGAATCTGTCTTTCTTTTTTTGTTTCCCTGATAGCTATAATCTCCAACTATTCAAATGTAATGTTAATCGACGTATCCAGATGCCCTGATCTATTTTATCTATTTCTTCATCCTTTCCTCTATCAATCATCTTTTTCTAAATCCAACTCTCTGTAACCCCTTACGTGCTAGTGGCAAAAATAATTTTACATGCTTGGGGTTGAATGCTTAAAAAAATAAGAAAATAACTTTTTGTTTTTAATTTAATATTTTTCAGTTTCATTAAAAAGAGTGATTAAATCCATTTAAATATATATATATATATATATATATTATATATATATATATATATATATATATATATATATATATATATATATATGAAGTTAAAAAAATGAAACGAAATCTAGATTTCAAAAATATCAAGTTTAAAAGAGATTTTTTAGAAAATTCTGTAAAAATGTTAAGTAAAGTGAGTATGCATATTCAAAAGGGTTAGGTACCAGAACCGGCCTCGAATAGTTAGAATCGGCGAATAATTGTCCCTAACCCACATCCAAACATTGTTAAAATATCACTTATCACTTAAATTTCAATTTATTAAATGTATTTTAGAAACATTTCAGACCTTTTTAAAAAACATTTTTAAAAAAAAATATAAATTTTGACCATACACTTAGCGTAAAATCATTCGTACAATAACCATTTTTAATTACGCATAGATCGATACAATATTTGAAAATACTGTATAAAATATGTGTAACAAGACAAAATACAAGTTGTCCATAAAATTCTCTTGCACTTAAAAAATCATTATTTTATTTTGTATTTGTGATAGAAATAACCTGCAAAAAAATCTTATAAAGTTTAATGTCCCTTTTTTTTTAATATATAGCAAAAATAACTAATGTGAATTCAGGCATTACTTCAAATCACGTTTGTTCAAATTTTTTCCATTGAACTGCAAAATCGTATTATTTCTTTGTATTGCAAATAATGGAGGACATGTGGAAATTTTTAAATTTATACACGAACGAAATGGAAATGGAAAAAATTATAAAGTTTAAAACATTTTCTAAAAACATATTTTGTGACGATATAAAGATTTTAGCACAAAGCCATTCTTTTAAGAAAAAGCTGCAAAAATTATAAAAAAGAACAAATATTTAAAAATAATATAAGAACTTTGCTCTTTTTTTTCCGTTTGATTTTTTAAATGAAGATGTACAAGTTTTCTATCCAATTTTACAATAAAAATGAACTGTTATGTTTTAGAGTTAGAAATATAATAACACAGAAAAATAATACAAAAATATTTTAAATATGTTCTATTAAAAAAATACGCATATCAAGCGAGTTCTCAGGAATAATTTGTACATATGTTCTTCAGAAAATCACGCGAATATTCGGGGTTTTCTGCGAATAACAAGTACATACGTTCTAAAGAAAATTTCCATGAATTTCAAAGCCGCGAATGCTGAAACGCGGATAGGCGGGGCTATTCAAATTTGCCCAGGAGATAGATAGATAGATAGATAGATAGATAGATAGATAAATAATGAACAGATAGAAATATGTGTACTTTAGAAAGTCAGAGGGAAAGTGTGAGTGTGCGAGGGAGAGATTTGCGAATACTTTGCAACATTTGGCCGAATGTATTTTTCGAAATCGGTCAAATCCTTTCCACATCTGTACAGTTTACAATGAGCAAAGTTATTTTTCGTGGATACTCGTATTTTAGTAGACGCCTGGTTTATTTATTAAACGTATAGTTATTTTCGTCTATCGGCATAAATATTTGAACCTGCATCCACCTAGTGGACACCGTCGTTAGATCCGACGTACTTTAGCCCTCTCGGCCACGAAGAGCGTCGATCGCCAAGCAAAGTTGAATAGTGCCTTGAAAAACACATCTTGGTGTGATAATTTAAAATAGACATATCTTAATTTTTATCCATTTCCTTTCTTTTGAGATGAGTCAAATTAATTATCAAAACTCAGAACGATGATATCGCAATCTTCTCTTAGATATCATCTATCTATCTATTTATGATATATATCTTGAATAATCTCTCTCTTTCAATTCTCTACTCTGTTCTCTCTCTCTATCTCTATATATATATATATATATATATATATATATATATATATATTATAATTATTTTTAAAAGATGTCACCATCGCAATACACGATGGAGACATATTGAAAAAATAATTATAATTATAATGGCGTCATATTTAAAAATTTATTACCATAAATTTATATATATATATATATATATATATATATATATATATATATATATATATATATAATTTATGAAAAACTAGGTAATCCGTATAGGTAGACCCAAGGAGCATAAAATCCAGAGAGCTCAATGTAAATCCAGAGCAAATAATTTAAATAAAAACAGACAACTTTAAGGTTCCATGTAATAAATTATTTCACCACATCCCTTTTAAAGGACTGCGGATCATCAGACTTTACTTACAAATATAATTAATTATTTAAAAATATGATTCCATCGCTACATAAGAGTTCTCATGTTTCAAAAGAAGAGCCGAAAACTTCAACATAATTATCTGAATTAAATTGAATTAAAGTACCAAGCTGTGTTCCATCTTCAAGCGAAATTTTTTTTGGAATAACTAATTTTTGAAATTTCCGCGTTTTATAAGCATACTCATAATTAAAATTAAAATTACTATGGTAACGGCTAGAGCAATTATTTAAAGAAAAGGGGCGTAAGGGTTAATAATTTGTATCAATATCTCAGTTACATTCAAAGATGTCAAGTCAGGGTAAGGTTGGGGTGTCTAAATTCAAAGCGGAAGATGACATCGTCCAGTCTGGTTAAGTGTCTATGGAGATTTATTTATTTTATTTTATTTTTTGTGTATATAAAAATAAACTGTCATCATTCGCTAACATTATATATATATATATATATATATATATATATATATTGTTGTGTGCGTGTGCTTATTTTTATTACTTAAAAATTATTTTTTGTCGATACCCGTGTTTGAGTAGAAGGTCGAATTTTTTAAAGACTGTATTACGTCTATGGCCTGCGCGAAAGCATTCGAAAAATTTAATAAAATCAATGTGTTCTTCAATATATATATATATATATATATATATATATATATATATATATATATAAATATATATATATATAAAACATTTTTTTGTTTATACGTTCTTTTATAGATACAAATATTTAAGAAAATGCTTTCTGTTTATAATAAACAATATTATTACTGTTTAATATAAACGGAGCATTTATTTAAAATTTGTATCTATAAAAAGAAATGTAAACATAAAATGTCATAAAATAATTTTGATTTTGTCCATTGGATAATGTATGACGTCTTATATTAATATATATATATATATATATATATATATATATGTGTGTATGTGTGTGTGTGTGTGTGTGTGTATATGTGAAAAGTGTATATAAATATAAATAAATATATATATATGTATAATTATTTATATATTATATGCGCGGTACTTATTAGAAAGCGCTCAATATCAGAGATAGAGCTAACATATTTGGTTGATAGACGATGAGTTTTTGACCCTGGTTTCACGCTTTAGCGATCGTCAGACAAGTGAAATTCCAGGTGCAAACTGTGTTATCTATCCAAGAATATATAGTCTATATATATATATATATATATATATATATATATATATATATATATATATATATATATACGGGCATGGAAATCTTTACTATATAGAAACCGGCACATTCACGCCTAAAAAAATCGTCAGACATGTGCTATTCCTCTTTGTATAATCTCAGTAGTTTTATATATAGGCCACAAAATTAGCCACAAGTTGGAAACAGAAAGGACAAGGAGGAAACCAAAAAAAAATTACCATTGTCTACCTTACGTCAAGTGCTTATCGTAAAATATTGAGAAGACCTGCGGTCCATACAACACCATGACAATATTCAGAAGCAGTTACTCTCTATGAAGAAATCTCTGCTAACTAAAACCTAACACGAAGGAGAACATGTACTCAATTCTTTGCAGTTGTGGCAGAGTATATAAAGGTGAAACAAGCCATTCACTAAACGTAAGGCTGGAGGAACATCAAAAATTTGTAGTGAATAGTGAGGCAATGAAATCGACCATGGCTGATCATGTATGGATAGAAAAGGGTAGTCACCAGTCCATGTGGAATGAAATGAAAATACTGGACAAGGAAGAACACTGGATTGCTAGATGTCTGAAAGAATCAGCGGATATGCTAGGCTATGAGGATCCCATTATTAGGCCTAGCATAGAAATAAATACATTATGGGAACCACTATTAAAGCAAGAAAAACAAATGATATCAAGTTTTCAATAGCAGCAACATAAATATGACAGACAGCAGGATGGGCGGCAGCAATCAAAACACGACAGACAGCAGTAGCAGCAGATACAGCACTAATCAGCAGGCAAGTTAGGTTTAAGTCTCCAAGTTCACTACGGCTAATTATCCTACGGAAATAGTGGATTAAAGCCCTGATCTGTGTTTTTGGTAACATAGTGATTGTCAGTTCAATCCTTATCTCCGGGCAGTGTGTACCTGAACTCAATGGAAACGAAGAAGCAATACAGTACTAAAAATACGAACTAGTGATACTAGTGGAACGTGAACAGTCTACTCCCGTAGATTAAATTATGGTTTCAGTTTAAATTTCCCTGTAGATCGATATACACCTGAAGAAGACTAGAAAATGCAACAGTCGAAACGTTGTGATAAAAACAATGATGATGACAATAGTCTGATTATAAATTATGTAAATCATCTTGTGTTTATATATTTATATTTGATTATATTTTTTGTTATTATTTTTTTATAATCTAAAATATTTAATTATACTTGTTGTATACTTGGTATATAAATTTGGTATTTGAATAAAGTTTGTGGTTGGAGGTAGCGTAGTAGGAATTTCCTGAGCGACGCTATTTACAGCCACATTACAGCTCCTTGCATTGTTGGTGTTTTTATCGACACAGTTTATATTTTCAAACGCTCTTTATCCGCCATCATTTTCCACTTTGAATTATAATGAATTTTAAAGACTTAAATCACAATATGATTATATAGGCAATTAAATTCCTAGATAGACCTGTAAAGGCAAGGGTTATTTACCTGCTCCCTATTGGCTGCTGGCACCTTCAAAATACTCTGCAACTGATGCTATGCAATTCGCGAGACATTGATGTCATCGATGGAAACATTCTTGGAACTCGTTTTCCGGAAACCTTTCACAGATGTTGTTACGTATTGCAGGATATCAGCAATTGTTCTTTCGGGGTATTTTTCAATTTTAGTAATAATCCAAATCATAGCGGGGTGGGGGAGTGTCTGAGTATCAGAAAGAAGAGAGATAATCCATTTTTGTAAAAGATTTCATAGCCATAATAATTCTAACATAATGTGAAGACATAACTCGACATAATTAAGTTGTCTATATTTCTGAGACAAGGTATTATGTACGCTGTTCATATTATTCGGACTACTGTCATCATCTTTGTCGCCATATTTATTACAACGTTTCGGCCGTTGTACACTCCGGCCTTCTTCAGGTGGTTAGAATGTCGAACTGAACCCTTTATTTCGCTCACTGGGGTAGACTGTTCTAGTTCCACGTGCCATGTTTAATGGATGTCAGGCAATGGAGAACTTGGAGAGGGGAATTAACAGGAGATAACTGATAACTGGCATCAATTAAACATGGCACTAGCATTTCTACCAATCTTCAAACGAGACTTGATGTTAAATATCTGCTCCAGATTCTTTTCACTTATTTGCAGCCAACAGGATAATATGAATCCATACAACTTCTGCTACTGCTAAGCTACTGATAACTCATTAATTTGTGTCTCAAGAACGCGAACGTTGGAAAAGCTTTTGCTCAACAATCGCTGATCTTTCCAAGAATTACGTTGTCACAACTCGTATATACACACACACACACACACACACACACACACACACACACACATATATATATATATATATATATATATATACTCGCGTATCAGGCGACCTTTGAAAACCGAATTTTGGAGCTAATTTGATTAAAGTAAATCGATATATAGTTTGATCAACGGCGTAGCCACCAGTACATATTTATACAACCCCATTAAACTTAGCTTCAAAAATAACATGATACGCGAGTATATTACTCTGTTCTGGACAGCGAGTTCTTCTGACTCTATCCTCTTGGAATTTATATATATATATATATATATATATATATATATATATATATATATATATGTGTGTGTGTGTGTTTGTGTGTGTGTGTTTGTGTTTGTGTGTGTGTGTATTGTATTGACTACTATTATATATATATATATATATATATATATATATACATGTATATATGTATATATATATGAACATTAAGGTCAACATTGAGGCGACAGGCTGTTTCATGCTAGACGCAATCGTCAGGCGGCCTGTCGCCTCTGAGTATTGACTTCATAATTGACTTTTATATTTACATACGCTTTATCTCAGATATTGAGCACTTTATCCCATAAATATTGCACACCTTACAACTATATTTCAGAATATATATATATATATATATATATATATATATATATATATATATATATATATATATATATATATACACGTATGTGAATGCGTATGTATGGGTGTT